ATTTCACTGTCCCGTTGCTCCATCGCGAAGGGAGGTTAATTTTATATTCATTTCATTTTAATTTTAACACTAAACTATATATTAATAAGTATAATTTGTGCACATTTTATGTAGGACCGATGTTTTCGCCACGAAAAACGACGCTATAATGACGGTAAGCGTTCGTGCCTAAAAGTCATTGGTTCGCTACCCGCAAACTAGATGGCAGCACAGGCGCCGGAAGTAAGAGGGGAGGTAGTGTTTTTGACCGGAAACGTCACAAAAAGGATGATGCTTGACTCAAGATGGATTCCGGATATCGAACGGAACAAATAATGTATAAATATTTCTTTTTTTTTTTTTACAGAACTTTTGATCTTTTGTGAACTAATGTAATTAATAATTTTTGATTGATGTTCATTTTACTAGTAAAACAAAATAGCCCATGTGGACGGTCACTAAAACGTGAAAACTTCCGTCGTCGTCGACACACGAAGACTCCGATACAACACTGAAGGAGATCATGTTAACCGATGCGATCGCAAGCGATTGCGAAACGTATGAGAAACTGCGAATGCGTCCAAGATTGTCACCTTTTTAGAAAAAATATAAAATCGGGACGGGTGGCAACCCTAAATGAAAAACATGCGTCTGTGACACAGTTGACTCCGAAAATTTACTGACAAGGATGAAGCTATTTCGTTGCGCTAATACCTTATAGAGCGATCAAAGCACACGCGAAACATTGCTATACAGCTGACATGATTTCGCAAATGTTGCATATTTGCATGCGATTGCGTCGGAGTACTAACGGCGTCAGCTGTCGATTTTTACATCGAAAAATCGATTTTTAAGTCGATTGAGCTGTGTGCCGTCTATCCAAGAGTTTTAATAGTATATGAAAAGGATGATTTTTGTGGTGTAACTATTGTCGATGTTTAATTAACTTTGTAGTTTATCAGGACTTATGTGGTGGATTGTGATTTTACGTTAACTGTCCAATAATAAATCGATACAACTTAATTGTCACTTTGTGATAATCTAACCTGCTGCTAGCTGTCTTCCACGCGTGTCGGTGCTGAAGATGTGATACAAGCCTCATCTTCTTTTTATCTGTATTTACATGAATTATGTGTGCGAATTCTAAAGTGGAAATCGCGAGTCTGCAAACATAATGTAGTTTGACCCCTAGCGAGGTGGAGGGATGATCGGAGGCAAAAATTGAAGCCCAAAAAATGTTTAAAACGTGGTAGAGTTGTATAGGAGAGGGGCGGGGGGGAAGAGAAGGCTATTTCCAGCAGTGGACTGATGTGCGCTGTTGATGATGACGTGCAGGTGCCGCTGGTGCCGTGGCTGCCGGGGCTCAGCATCCTCATCAACGTGTACCTGATGCTGAACCTCGACTACATGACGTGGGTGCGATTCGCTGTATGGATAGCGGCCGGTCAGTATACCTTATACTATGTTCTGACTGTTAGTTTTGATATATTGTACCTACCATATTTTATTATGAGGAAGACTTGAGATCGATGTTTTTCTTAAGTACTTTTCTATAAGGTATTATGATTATAGCCTTGAGATTCCCAAGACAAATCCCGACCAATGCTTAAACTAATTGACCTAAACGAGAGTTGCTTAGGGAAAGTGCTGTCTTTCTCAAGCTCAGTATGGAAAATTAATACAAGTATAAAAAAATTTGGGACAAAATTGGATTCAAACGGCCTAAATAGGAAAAAGTGCAGAAGATCAGTTTCCTATACTGGTTGAGATCTTTTGGAAAGCTTGAGATGGTAGAAAATTGAATTGTGCCACTAAGGTACGTTTTTTATGTACTTACGTCTATTCAGAAACATTTTCAAATAAAACCTCCGTGCGTGACCGAGTGGTCGTGCTTCGGAAGGCACGTTAAGCCGTCGATCCCGGCTGCATTTGCAGGACGTTAACACCGTCTAATCTTTTAAAACCAGCGTGGAGGGTAATGGTCTATTCTTCTTAACCACCCTTAAGGTAGGCTTGAGTCCCTGCAGGGGGACGTAATAGGGCTGATAATGATGGATGATGATGATGGTTGATGATTATGGATGGTGATGATGATGATGGTGGATGATGATGATTTTGATGATGGTTGATGATGATGATGACGAAGATAATGATGGACAATGACGATGATGATGATTACGGTGATGGTGATGATGATGATTATGCTGATCGTAGGTCTAATAATCTACGCGACGTACGGCGCTTGGAATAGCTCGGAAAGGCGTCGCACCCCCGACGGAGTGCAGCTGGAGCCGCGCGCCGACAGCCACACCGCACTGCTCCCACACTCGGGCGGTCTCGCTCACACGCTCGGCTGACGCCCGCCCACTGGCGCGCCCATATCGTACATATCTAGCATTTAGTTGCACTCGTTTTCATTTTATACTAGAATAGACGCTTGATAGTAAACTGTCGCAAATACAGTCGAGGAAATTCGCGCTCTCCCACTTTGACTACGTAGTCGTTTGAACGAGATTAAATTCTGCTAATACTAATGACATTTTATTAGACACGTCATAACCGTACATTTTGTATATTAAAACAGCGAAAATTTTATTGTGGTAGCGTATCATTATAATACCAACCACAAAGGACGCGAAGAAATCAAAACAGTCATCACCATATCAGAATTTTCAGCATATCTCTTGTTAGAAGCATTGACTTGCATAGTTTCAAGTGTCAACTGCTGCATTCTCATAGAACACGATGCACGAAAATATGGCCGCGTTCAATGGTGTATTATTATTATAAAAGACTAAGTTTAGCACTTACGCATTAAATGATATCTTCTTTGCATTTCTAATTGTCAATGTGTAATTTGTGTATTATTTAAACACTCCGGAAGGCATTTTTTCTACTACTTTAATATTTATCTCACCATTGGTTTATTAAGACAGCATCGTACAAACAGTAGCAAAATGAAAATTTATACCGATACCAAGACCACATTAATATTAGCAGAATCGAGGGCCTAAAATCTTAATACGAGCCCTTCAATTGACACAATGGAACGCAAAATGAAATTTACGGAACAGAACGGAAATTCGAAGTTCTGAAGTAAATAGAAATGCTGAATAAGAAAAAAAAAATCGCTTTTAAATTTAGGAAATTATGGTACGACTTCTTAAACAAGGGATCGAGCGCAAACGATATTTGCCTAAAGGTGGCAAACTTTAAATTTCCTCGATTGTACATAGTAAACATTGTCATTTCATCAGCATTATTAAACTATGAATCTCTAATGTTTCGGTTCCTTTTACATCCAACCAAAGTGTTTAAGATCCAAGTTCGACTAAGTTATTTAATATTAATGAATGTAATCGTACTTTGTACTTAAAGCTATTTCAGTATTCGATTGTAGTATTGCGTGGCTGTGAAACGGCGTTTTGTTTAATTAACTAATTAAGGTAAATAAAACGCGTAAATTTATATATGAAGCGGCTAAAATATGCTTATAGATGAGAAATTTTTAGGTTTAAGAATATGAGCTTTTAGCACGTAAAAGTTATTCGTATATATTTGTTTGAAACAAAAACTAAAGTTAAGGACGTATACTACTCCTTTTGCTTAAATAAAAGAAAAAAACTGACATGACATCAGCTGGTCTATCACGCAAAAAATTAATTAAACTATTATTTACATAAAGCAAATTATGAAGCTGTTTTTTGTCGTATTGCGTACAGTAACTTCAATTAATATGGTCTTCGAGCTCCAATCGTACGATTGTTTTTGATTAGTCTTGTTTCAATAACCATAAGGTGTAAAATGCAAGGCATTAGATGTCTGTCTCTGTCACACTCGGCTGCAGTCAGGCGCTACTTGAGGGTTACTTGAAGAATGATTCTGATAAGTCGACCTCTGACGCGCTTCGCAATTGAGCCATCTGCGTAGGTATATCGTTGAGACACATTAGTTGTATCTAATTGTAACTAGTAGAAGTTTCTAAGTTAAGCGAAATCAATTCCAGGTGCTCGTTCGAGCGGTAGCGTTAATTTATGTAGTTTGAAACTGACAATAATGCAACTTTCTTTTTAAATATACGTGTTAGAAATAATTGACAAGAATATCAAATAAGACTATGGTTCCATGTTTATCAAGTGAGAACTTCATGACACACGGGTTGGGACTAATGAAGTCAATCTCAAACTAAATGTATGATACCATATACAGGGTTATTTGTAAAACACCAGTGATCTCGTAGTATTAGGACGTAATATAAATTTCTATTGTACTGTCGTGACATTTATAAGTCTACGCCGACCTTACGTTAGTATGGAATACAAAACCAAATGGCAATGAAAGATGACATAGCGCTATCTATGATACAAAATGTGAACTAAACCTATATCTTAAATGTTTCGCAGGTTCTACTGAACGCAATAGAATTAACTTAAAAGGGATATACTTTATTCTTGATACTTTGAGATGGGATATACTTAATATAAATTTAGACGAAATTTATAATCAAAGGATGTTGTATGTTGTATGCTGGTATGCTCTCACTTTGTGAAAAGTACTTACATATTAGTGTTGCGTTAGTAAAATTCAAGCAGTAAATTAAGTTAAATATTATTATTAATGTAGAAAGAAAAAGTAAATTGTTACGAATCATCAAAACCTATTGAATGAAATTTATTGTTCTTTATATTTGCTTTGTAATCCTGCAAGATTGTTGATGTTATAGAAATCATCCTGTATATAAAATTCTCGCTTTATAATGTTCCTAACTATAATGAAACTGTATTTATTTAAAAATGTATTCCTTTACAGTGTCCTAAGTTTTGAAATATTATAAAACTGTAGTCGTTAATGTGTCCTGTTAATGTGATGATATTGACTCAAGTTATCTCAATCTGTCAAATTTCTCCAAATGTTTTTGAATCTAAATGAGTCGATAATAGAGCGCAAAATAGTTTGCGGTAATTTGGCATTTTGGATTAGAATAAAATTTTATTGTCATGACATGTGTTTCAATGTGTATTAAAAATGCTTAGTTTTGTTTAACGGAATTTAGAAATCTGATTTATAAGTAGTTACAGTTTGGTATGTTGTATTTATTAATGTTTGGTATTTATTTTGACATTGTTCAAATTTGATTTTATTATTTACATGAATTTTGTTATGTGATTATTTAGCTATATATTTTTATGGCTTACTTGCGAAAATACAATTGTCGCCTTCAAATTTGTGTTTTTTTTTTCAGTAAAAATAAAAAGAAAGTGCAATCTCATTATAATAATATTTATTTCTTATTTTAATACAATATAGTTCGACCTCTTCAATAAAAAAATCACAGTTTGTTAACGCTTATTTTCTAAAACTTATTCTAGATTAATTAATCACATTATTTAATTTATTATTAACAATCACACGACTATCACAATCATAAACAATTATTATAAATAAAATCATGGGTAGGAAAATGGTATTTAATGGTATTATATTTATACTAAAACGCTATTCTTACCGACACAGAAGCGAAATAAAATAAATTTAATCTACAGTTATTAATACCATAGAGTTAAAATTAGAGGAAAATTTGTTTATATTATAGTAAGGAAATATATTTCATAATCATTGAAGTTCAGCAGTGGTTTATGTAGATGTCAATAAGAATGGTTTTTTAGAGAATTTCCATACAAATAAGATGAATTTAATCCATAAGGTACAGGATATTAGCTGTTTCCATTGTCTACTTCAGTGTTTTCCTTTAGTCGTATATTATTTACTTGTATATGAGCTTCGTATCTGTGTCAGTGGGAATAAAATTCTACAATTAACTTACGATGATGCGATGCTTGTACTAAATTGAAATCTCAACATGCTAATTTTCATAAGTCAGAGAAGGTATTGTGAAAATTTTCGTCAAACAATTTTGATATTTTGAACTTTAACGTGTAGCTAATAAAATCGACTTTTGTCATTGAAACAAGCAATAGTAGATATTAAAGTCATTAAAATCTTATGTTTTATGAAATCTTATCACTAAAATGAGCAAAACAGTATATATATATAACGCATATTTACAAAATAAATTCGTTTTAGGTAACTGCAAGTGTGGCAAGACTTAACCCAAAATTTTATATTTTAAAATAAGTTTTTATACATTTCTCTTAAGTTGTTTTTCTTATCCTGTTAAGTTTTCACACTACATTTCGTATTTAACTTTGAGGTCAGTTATTTGCAAGTAATATAAATACGGAATTTTCTCAAGACTAATCATTTTGTAAATAAAAAAAATCATTTATCTGATATAAATCCATATTTTTGTGTGGTGTTTTTGTAACTGTTCATGTATTATTTTCTTTATAAAAAAGGAATTAGCGCCATATTGTAACAGTAATTGACTGTTACAGTAAAAAGTAAAAATTTTAAATCACTAAATTCCATCTCAAAATTTACAAAACTATGCCTACAAAGCGTTAGACACTTTGATAACAAACCTTAAATCATTCTAGTCGAATATCTATCACAAAATTAGGCTAGTGCGGTCAAAACTTTGTAGTGATGTGATTCTTGTTATCCGCTTTCCCGTTGGCAATCACCGGTGGGTCGGTAGTTTCGTTCAATGAACTATTCCTCAAACCGTACTGGAAGTATATTAAGTAACCTGGAAATTGAAATAATTTAATTAATACCTTTTTGAGTATAATTCGTAGATTTAGGCTGGTTTTTATAGTCAAGCCTAGTGTCAGCGCGGCTGGAAAGTGAACAACGTCTTATGTCTACGTGCGCTGCCGTCTGACAGCACAAGGCGGTAAAAGCACGTACAACGGTTAAACGGTTAAGTATATAAATCTAAGCCGTGTGCTTAAATTTATATACTTAGTGCAATAAATAACCTTTTTTTACGTTTTGCTACACGACGGTAGTATAATATCCTGATAGACTGTAACGCCGAGGTTGAAAAGTGTAGCTGCATTGCCGTAAGCGCGGGTAGGTTAACAATGTCACCATACACAGACTTTCGAAGTTAATGACGCGTGACGCTTAACACACGTGCTTACAAAAGCTAGTCTTTTTCACATAGCATGGGTACAGTTGCGTTTAGGGTTTGAAGCTTTTAATGATAAAAAAGAGATTATAGAGTTAATTTCTGCTAAAAGGTCGAGTGTGCAAGCTTGGATGTCTAAATGACAATTAGCAAGTATTAAAAAAAAATGCACTAAAAAAGCGCCTCCAATAGATGGCAACTCTAGCAAAAGTTGATTTTTGCCGGAAACGAATGGACCAAACATAGTCATTTCCGTTCCTTTTGACTAACATATTAAAAAACTGAAATTTTCAAAGTTCGAAACTCAGATATCAATACAAATACGAAAAAGTACAAATAGAATAAGAGTTGTTTATTGAGTTTTGAAAACTAATTTACTTTTATACATGAAAGAAAAACACGGAAGGGTTGTCATGGAGAAATCAAGAAATTACCGTAGCGACATCTAGTTTGATTTCGGAAACTAATGTTCTTTTTTAAATACTTCCTCATTTATGCAACGTATCTTCCGTCAGATGTGCACCGACCCTAAGGCCAACAAATTTTGCTTAAAAAATAACAAAGATCGATAGTTGTACTGACCGATGGCTAGCCAGATGATGAACCGAACCCAGGTCTGGTAGTCGAGCTGAACCATCAGGTATACGTTCATACACACGCTCAGATACGGCACCAAAGGTACCAACGGCACCTGTATATCAAAAACGACATTTTCAACACACAATACAGGTTTGATATTATTTTATACTAGCTTTCTGTCAGCGGCATCGACCGCGTGCTGCCTAGGGAACTATTTAGTGGGATAAAAAGTATCCTATTATCTAAGTCAGCTAATACCCTATTTGGCTAATGTCATCAAATCTTTGGCAACTCTAATCGGGTCGTAGGCTTGCTTGTCGTTGGGTAGTAAAACTCCGTAGAAGGTGGAAGGATGGAATGTTTTATTTACTTTTTTTTTTTTTTTTTTTTTTTTTTTCGGTTCTCAACCTTATGGGTTCGGAACCACCTTCCCATCAACGGAGGAAGGAGGCGGTGAATCCTTCATTGGATACCCACACAGCCGGCTGTGGGGGTTATGTCAGACTCCTACTGACTAAACACCGCCTTGGACTAATGGTTACACGCCCGGAGGCAACGAACCTTCAACTGAGCGACCGCCCCCTCAAGGGGGGGGGGCGGCGCAGACGTCCCTAAACACATACATGAATAGTGACGTCGAGAATACAGCTGACTCCCTGAAGGGGAACGATCAGCCGGATCGAACGGGGGTATGACCTGAAGGGTCGACGTGTGGAGGGCGGCATCACATACCACCAGAAGGGTGCTATCTGATACTCGTAGCAACTTGTGTGGCCTGCATCCTGAAGGGATGTCAGGTCGAGAGGACCGAGTGGGTTGACCTGAAGGGTCGGTGTGATGGGGATGGAATTGGCCTACTGGGTCTCGTGAGGAGGTCCAGGTCGGCCAGAGGATGGGTTGTGGGAGGTTTGGGAAACCTAACATGTTGTTAGTGCTTAAGATAAAGCACTTAGTAATGCTTCGTGTTCACACAGCGCCAAAAGGCGTTCCCGTGTGGACGAAGCGCGACGGAGCTTAGCCGCTACGGTGGCGACTTCATCCATGTCGATTCCACGAATCAGGTTGAGAACCGTATTCATGTCATCGACTAGGGATGGAGAATCGGAAGCTGTTTTGGGAGGTGGGACGGAAGCCTTCGGTGAAGGCTTCGTCCATACCGGTTGTGAGGCCGGTTTGGGGGCGGCCTTTGGTAAGGCGGGGAAGTTCGCCGCAGTGGGCGGGGGGGGGGGGGCTTTAGGTGCTTTATTGAACACCGGGCCCTTACCCATCTTCTTAGAAGAGGGTTTGGGCTTCGGTGCTCGTGGGCAGCCTTTGTAGTTGGCCGTGTGGCCGATTTGGCCACACAGTACACAGGCCGGAGGGGTGCGAGTGTCTCGAGTTCGAGAGCACTCCTTTGTAGGATGTGACTCGAGGCACTTTACGCACCTCGGAGTCGCGGAACAGTTAGCCGCCGCATGCCCGTAAAGCTGGCATCGGTGGCACTGTCCCGGAGTACCGCGTCGGTGAGGGGGTTCTACTTTAACCCCGGAAAGGCCGCAGACCCTAAGGTCGTTAGCTTTGAAAATGTCCCTAGCGTTGGGGACATTTGGGATGATGAGTAGAGCCAGCGGGAAAAGCCTGCCGGCTCTACTGTGTATTTTATGAACGGATTCTACAGGGAATCCCTGTTCATTGAGATCCTTATGGATCAGATCGGTGGAGAGCTCGTACGGAACGTTTCTCAGAACCGCACGAACTTTACGCTCCTCTGGGAGAGCGTAGGTGTGATAACCCACCTTGTGGTGGGTTAGAAGTCTAGTGAGGGCTCTATAGTCCTCGTTAGTGGGTGTCTCCACCCGGATAGCTACACCCATGTTTTTGGCATGGGTGTAGTTGATCTTGTCCTGTGCGCAGAGGTTCGAGACCTCTGCCCACCTTGATTTGTCCCGTATAAATACAGGAGGCGGACGTTGGGGTTTACCCGGCCGTGGGTCGCATTTATTATGCGGCCGTAGCGGGATGGAGGAGGGAGGAATACTTGGAGTATTCTCCAGAGTGGCTTTCTTGCCGATGACGCTTACCGCTGAAGCGTCCGCACTTGCTCTGGGAGAGCGTGGCTTACGACGCTTCTTGCGGCTTCTCACCGTATGAAAAGAGACGTTAGAAGAATCGTCGGAATCGGACGTCCTGAAAAGGTCGTCGTCCGGCGGTGAGGAGGAGCGAGGATGGGATCGCTGTGAAGCGGTCCTCTTTATGGATGTGCTTTCGCACTCCATGAGGGAGGTTGAGGATTGCGCTGATGCCTCTGAGTGGGCCATCATTGCGCTGAGGATGGGTTGGAAAAGGTGGTCGGGTAGGATGCGTTGGAGTTCCGCGAGTGAAAATTCTCTGTTAAGCAGATCGGACATGTCGGCAATGCAAACCGTTAAATGCGCGAAAGAGAGAGATGTAGGGGTGTTTCACTCGCACTTCTCTCCGTCACACCTACCTTGGTAGGTTAGAGGGAGATAGGGCGAGTGTGCAAAAGACCTACCCCGCGCCGGAGCGAGGGGGGAAAACGCGACGCGGAAAAATGCGGCTATCCCTATTGGATATAGCGGCAAACCTTCACCCTTGGGACAAGGCCCAAGTGCACTGGGATCGGGTCTTCGGTGTTGCTAAAGCCTGAAGGGCCTTAGCGAGCGCACCGGGATCGCTCAGTTGGCTTAGTTGCCACCGTTAGGTATCCACCAACTCAAGAACTTGAGAGTGAGTCAAGTCCTACTGGTTTAATGTTTTGAGAAAAACAAAATCAGCAGGGCCTGCGCTCGGGGTGTGCAGACGGCACGAGAGTACTCACAGTTTGGGTAGGAGAGAGTCGTGTACGCGCACGGGGGCGCGCAACGAAAGCTGAGAGCGGAATGTGTTTGATTTTATTTACAAATCTTACAGCTACTTATACTAAAACGTAATATAATATTTACCAATTAAACTTCCTTAAAATTATAAATACAAACTTAACCAATGAGAAATGTACATTTTAAACCAATTGCGAGAAAGCTACAATATTTACAATGGAAGGGGAAAGTGCCGAGAGGAAAGGGAAAGGGACTGAGACGCGGGGCGAGGGATCGTGTGACGTAGCGTATAAAGGCTGGCATAGAGTTAACGAGATCCCTTTTGCCAGGCGTCGGGTGAGCGTGCGGGTGACTACGCTGCGGAAGGTTGACATGTGGCGCGCAGCTGTTGACACGCACTTGTTGCGTTGCTTTCTCCTTTGTTTCATACGGACAGTGACGTTGAAATAGTTCTTTTAAGAGCTCCTTATTTCATTGGCGGATATACAAATAAATTTTCCTATAACTGATGTAGTCTTATTACTGTCTTACTGGTGGTGTAGCCACAGTACTCCCCTTCAAGTGAATCGTACCGGCAGCTTGACGACACGGCCAGATCTAGTTCGCTTCTCTGCTGGCTGTGACGTCACGTCGTTGTTTCTTACACTTGAGTCTGGTAAAGGCATTGATGGTAATGTTGTGGTGGTATTCGTGCTTTGATGTGGTAATGTTATGAAGGTATGATTATGGTAACTTAATTCAGGCGTATGTTGGTAATTTGTATCTGATGCATAACTCTCCTCTATGATGTATGCAGGCTTCAATCGGTCGATGGAGATAGCTGCTTGACGATTTGGTAACTGGATCGTAAACACTTTATCTGTGCGCTCCACGACTCGATAAGGACCTTCATATGGTTGTTGAAGTGGCTTTTTTACTGCGTCGACTCTGACAAACACGTGAGTGCATTTTTTTAGATCTTGGTGCACGAACATGTGTTTGTTACTATTGTGATGCGTTGTGGTGGAACGTGGCTTGTTATTGTTTATGTGTTCCCGTAACTTTTCTACGTAAGTGTAGTTCATAACTGTTGAGTTGGTGCAGTTGTTTTGAAAGAAATCGCCAGGTAGCCGTAAGTTATAGCCGTAAGTTAATTCAGCTGCGCTGACGCCTGTGTCGCTCCGTAGAGCGGCTCTTAGTCCAAGTAACACGGTTGGTAGTTCGTCGATCCAAGAACTTGTGTTGCTAAGTTTGGTACGCAGTGCGGTCTTCAGTGTGCGATGCCAGCGTTCGACGATGCCGTTGGATTGCGGATGATATGGTGTTGTACGATTTTTCTTTATTCCCATAATCTTCATTAAGTTGGTAAAAAGAAAGCTTTCGAATTGACGACCTTGGTCGCTGGTTAGTGTCGTTGGACATCCGAAGCGCGAAATCCAATGTTTGTAGATAACGTCAGCCACAGTATCAGCTGATATGTCATCGGTAGGTATTGCTTCAGGCCATCGTGTGTGTCGATCGATCATCGTGATGAGGTAACGTTCACCTGTCGCAGTTGTAGGTAGTGGTCCAACAATGTCTACGTGTATGTGTTGGAAGCGGTCGGCTGGCGGGAAGGTTGCTATATTCGAAGTAGTGTGTCGATTAATTTTGCTTTTCTGGCAGTTTATGCAGTTTCTAGCCCATACGCCAATGTCAATATTCATTGACGGCCAGAAATATTTTTTTGTTATAAGTTTGCGAGTTGTGCGGATTCCCGGATGACTAATGTTATGAATGCTGTTAAATATGTCGAGGCGGTATTTTTCGGGTATATATGGACGGGCGTACAACGTTGAAGTCTCGCAATATAAATCGACATCTGTGTTTGGAACGTTCACTTTCTTTAGTAGAATGTTGTCTTGCTTCAATAGGGGTGCAATGGACGCGTCTTTGTCTTGCGCAGTGGCTAGTTCCGCGTAGTCTATTGTTGTTGGGCAGGCTATTGTTTCTATCCTGCTGAGTGCGTCGGCGACTACGTTTTGTTTACCGCTCACATGGCGTATGTCTGTGGTAAATTCGCTGATAAACAAAAGCTGTCTTGTCCTACGAGGTGTCTCAGATGAGGATTGTGACTTTGCCATGGCGAATGTTAAAGGCTTGTGGTCGGTGAAGATTATTAGGTTCCGCCCTTCGAATGACTTTCTAAAATGCTTCACTGCCATGTATATCGACAGTAACTCTCGGTCGAAAGTTGAATACATTTTTTGTGCCTCTGAGAACTTTTTTGAATAATACCCGAGGGTCACCACTTTAGGAACCATGTGATTGAATGTTGGTCCCTAGTGTGGTCACCACTTTAGGAACCGTAAGGTTGAAGGTTGGGTCCCTAATGTGGTGATGGAGACAACTGGCCAGGGAGACTAAAGGATAATTGTCTCCCTCCGAGCTAGGTGTTGTTAGCCCGGGGACCGCGGTCCAACCGATGTAGGTTGGACGTTCTATTTATGTTAATTGGTTTTAAAACTTATTCTGTGTGATGTAGGTTTCTTTGTTCTAAATGTCTTGTAGTTATTAATTTATGATGTTTGTATTGGTACAGCGCCATCTCGTTACTTTGTATTTACTTCTCTCGTTCTCGTTACTTTGAAACTTCTTGCTATCGATGGCTGTGACAATGCTAGTCTTCTCGCTATTGATTGTTGTGGCGATGTTAGTGCGATGAATTAGATGTCGCTATGTATCAGTCGCCACAGTACTTTCCCCCTAGACCGAAGGTCGATCCATGTTGATAGTAGGTGGTATGCAGTCAGTGCTTCAGAGCTTGCAAGTGCCAGGTTGTGACGTCGAGACCGAAGCTGCTGGTGTGCAGGGCTGCCACGCCGGTGAGTTGTGTGTGAACTAAGGTCCGGTCGTGGGCTGCGAGGACCAGGTCGGAGTGATGCCGTCGTGTGGTACCAAGTATCCAGGAAGCGTCGTCGATGCTGCTGTGATGGACCTTGGGGTTGGCTGGCTTGCTGCTGAAGTGGCTGTGCGCTGGTGAGGGATGAGAGACTGATGATGAAGTGAGATGGCTGCGTTGTGATGCTGAAGGTTGCTGCTGTTGAAGGTTGCTGATGCTGAAGGTTGCTGATGATCACGTCGGTTGAAGATCACGTCGGTTGAAGATCACGTCGGTTGAAGATCACGTCGGGGTCACCACTTTGGCAACTCTAATCGGGTCGTAGGCTTGCTTGTCGTTGGGTAGTAAAACTCCGTAGAAGGTGGAAGGATGGAATGTTTTATTTACAAATCTTACAGCTACTTATACTAAAACGTAATATAATATTTACCAATTAAAATTCCTTAAAATTATAAATACAAACTTAACCAATGAGAAATGTACATTTTAAACCAATTGCGAGAAAGCTACAATATTTACAATGGAAGGGGAAAGTGCCGAGAGGAAAGGGAAAGGGACTGAGACGCGGGGCGAGGGATCGTGTGACGTAGCGTATAAAGGCTGGCATAGAGTTAACGAGATCCCTTTTGCCAGGCGTCGGGTGAGCGTGCGGGTGACTACGCTGCGGAAGGTTGACATGTGGCGCGCAGCTGTTGACACGCACTTGTTGCGTTGCTTTCTCCTTTGTTTCATACGGACAGTGACGTTGAAATAGTTCTTTTAAGAGCTCCTTATTTCATTGGCGGATATACAAATAAATTTTCCTATAACTGATGTAGTCTTATTACTGTCTTACTGGTGGTGTAGCCACAAATCCGTTCAGTAGTTTCGGCGTGATTGACGGACAAACATCCAAACAAAGAAACTTTCACATTTTTATTTTAATAATAGGATAGGATTTTTAACGTGATAGTGTTTGAATGCTACTGTACTGACCGTGAAGCTGAGGTGTGTGACGTCCCGCGTGGGCTGGCGGTACAGCACGAGCAGCAGCAGCAGCAGCGCGGCCCCCAGCACGCCCAGCGCCGCGGCGCCCCCCGCGCCCTCCTCCGCCCCCGCCCACCGCACCAGCGCGCACGTCGCCAGCGCCAGCACGACTGCCGGCAACCAATACACGTTCACCACATTGCAATATTGCTAGGGCGAATTACCACGACCCTGGGGGGCCTATTCTAATTATCCTCGAATAGAGATACGGAAAAAAATGATTTCTCTTAGTTTCGTTAAAATCCTATATCAGTTATCAGTATAAACTATTGGAAAATAAATTTCTGCGGAGGACGTCTATTTTTGAAATGCTAATAATGTAATAATAAAAAAAAACAAAAGAACCCGACTGCGTTAAATCGAATTAAAAAAAATAAGTTAATTTTTTCATGTATTTTTTAAAATTCGTTTTTACGCAGTCAGGTTTTCTGTTTTTTTTAATAATTTATTTTTATTTTATACTTTTTAGTTATGATTCGTTGACTTCGTTATAAGATGGTAAATTTCGCAATTAGTCATTTCATTGAGGGAGTTAATGTCGTGGGGATTATTAAGTAACTTGCGTTGGCCTAAACTACTGATGATTAGTCCCTCTAGAGACCTAACTCGGCTCAAAGTTACATATGCTTGATTTTTTTTTAACAAAAATATTTGTTCTTCATGCTTTTTCACTGTTTTTTTTTTGTTTGTATATCGTTTATACTTTAAATAAAAATTTAAATCAATAAGTAAGAAAATTAGCGAGAATTTTTTGTTAAACAACTTTAAATCGTTATATATCCTAAACTATCATGTAAAATGAAAAATGATAAAAGGAACCTAAAGATGATTTAAAAATACCTATTGAACGACACCAATTGATTACTGTCATGTTTTTTGGTGACACTCGCAAAGTTAAGACGAATCGTTTGACGTAAGAATCATCAAAATCGGCCTACGCATTTGGTCTCTAAAACGCTACATAGAAACAAACATACATACATACATACATACATACATAGACTGATAAACACATTACCCTCCTTTGCGTCGCGCAGTCGGGTAAAAATAGACGAAATTTCATTTTCAGGTAAATAGAATAGAAAGGTACATTTTACAGAATCATTTTTATGACACTTTTATAAATGTTAGTTCTGTTTATAAGATTTGGTGGAATTAGTTACAAAAACTAAAAAATCCTTAATCCTGGTTGGTAGTGGCGGACTAACCTCATCGGAGGCCCGGATCGACAACTTTTTCCAACCAGGGCAGAATCTTGATATTGCGTTTAAATAATATTATATTCCATATTTCGCACCTAGGCGAAATGACAAATAGCTAGGCCAACCCATATTTTGTATAATAGCGATATAAAATCTCCTTAGTATTTTACTCATTGGTTCATTATCTGCCAGTGTTCCAAATTTCAAATCGATCGTATAGTTTTACTTTTAAATATTGACATTTTAAAAAGCATTCTTTTGTTTTTTCTGCAAAATGGATAAAATTGAGCTACGAGCTGTGATAAAGTTTTTGCATTTGAAAGGATTAAAAGGTGGAGAGATTTTTTCGGAGGCGAAGGATGTTTTGGGAGAAAATGCTCCTTCATATGCGACCATAAAAAATTGGGTGGCTGAATTTAAACGTGGGCGTACCAGCACCCAAGATGTTCAAAAAGTGCCACTACTCCAGAAATTGTGATCAAAATTCATGATGCAGTTTTAGCTGACCGAAGATTGAAATTTTCCGAGATAGCTGATACTGTAGGCATCTCTAAAGCTAGCGCATTACATTTTGACTCAAGAATTATGTATGAAAAAATTATCCACAAGGTGGGTGCTGCGATTGCTTACAGTTGACCAAAAACGCGTTCACAAGAATACGCTTCAAGGAGACTATGTCGAAAAATAAATATACTTTTAAAACACTAATTCAAGTTTTTCTATGCTAGGCTAGCTATTTATCATCCCGCCCTCGTAATCTACGTTGTAATTTAATGGTACCCCAAGTTTTATTTCTAAAAATACACTATGAAAATATTTTTTTCATACCCAAAATGTCAGTAGGGGAGACTGGGTACGGTTGTGCCAGGGTACGGTAGTGACAGTCGTCATATTATCGAAAATATAGGGAATAGTGGGGGGCACGCAAGGGGAGAGAGGAGCGGCTTGCACGCGTGAACCTGTGTCACAGTGTCGCGTCATCCGACGCCCAGAGTGTACGTGACCAGGAGCACATTTTGATTTTCAAACGTAAAAAGTAAGTATTTTGATTCATTATTGTTTCGTAATTGTTATTACATGTATACTGGTAGGGTATTGAGTGTTGTTCATCGATATAAATCAAATATTAGCAGTTTAATATCAGTGGTTACATTTATTGTATGTTATTTTGTTTTGACGTGGTGAGTGTTTTTTTATGAAAACGATCTCTGGGTACAGTTGTGACATTTTTACCGGGTACGGTTGTGACAAAAGTGAAAACTGTTGTTTTTTGTTTTAGATGCCTAGAAAACGCACGAGAAAGACAGAAAGAGGACAGTGTAACTTGTCTCAGTATGAAGAGGCTTACAATGAAACAAAACGCGGGACTTCTTTGCGACAAGCTGCGGAGATGCATAATGTTAATCGCATGTCTCTATTAAGGTATATTCATGTCTCTATTAAGGTATAAACGCGATAATGCCAGCATGAACGATAATGAAATCAGTAGCACTAGCATGGGGTATGTCGCTCACAATAAAGTGTTTTCGGAACAACAAGAGCAGCAGTTGTCAAAACATTTACAGCGTTGAGCGGACATTTATTTCGGACTTGCTCCTAAAGAGGTGCGGAAGTTGGCTTTTGAGCTTGCAACTCAATATAACCTAAAGCGACCTGCTACTTGGGCTGAGAATGAGATGGCAGGCGTAGAATGGTTCCGTTCATTCCTGAATAGAAATCCTTCTCTATCTGTTCGAGTAGCTCAAGCTAAAAGCCTTTCAAGGGCAACAAGTTTCAACGAAGCAAATGTGAAAGCTTTTTACGACAACTTGCAAGTTGTTATGGACAGACATACTTACGAGCCACAGGATATTTACAATGTCGACAAAACAGGCGTCACAACTGTCCAAAGACCTGATAAAGTCGTCGCAAGGCGTGGTACAAAGTACCAAAGTAGAATAGAGTTTAAGTTTTAATGTGAATTATATTTTTTAAGTCAACTTTAACTAATTTCAAATGCAGACTGTTATAATACTATAAGGTAAATAATGGGTATAAATGAAGACTGATATTGTAACCAAAGATCCTATAGTGCCTTGTAAGTTGTAAGAGATTAAAATGTTTGCAACATTTTTTATTTTATTTCTTTTGTTGATTTTGTCATAAATATATAAATATTTATTGCAATTATGCATTGTTGTTGCAATTATGCATTGTTGTTGCATTGCATGTTGCATTTTTATCTTATTTTGTGATCCTTTTACAGTATTTTCATCGTGTCACTATTGAACCCCCGTACTGTCACAACCGCCCCTGGGGTGGGTTCAGTTGTGACAATTTCCCTTTTTTCTTAAATTTCATTTTATGAATTAACCATTTGATTTAGACATATAACTTTAATATTTATACGATAAGCAATGAATAAACTAAATTATAATACATTTTTTGTTCAGATTAATAGCCTAATTACAAAATTATTTGCGATCATATGAAAATTGTCACAACCGTACCCAGTCTACCCTACCTGGTGTCCGAATTCGGAAATTTTTGTTTTTGAGAATCTTTATTTCTAGAAATGTAAAATTTATTTACTAATTTTAATTTTTATACTAGTAACACCTATTTCCACAAATATTGTTACGTTTAATCAACGGCTTCTATTTTTTTTTGTTGTTTGTCCAAAAGTTTTTACGACTAGGGATTGACCCTCTAATCTCCCAATTTAATTTCATAATTTCGCGGTTTTATTTTAATGTAATAGGAATGTATACCATAATTCAATCTATACATAAGTCAATTTATAACCAAGGTCGGTACTTATCTGATTACAACATTCTCTTCGAACCGGCCATTTTGTGAGGGAGTGTAATCGTAACTGCTTTTGTGCAAACACGTGCCTGTCCAGTGACTTCATCATTAAAAGTTTATCAAAGTAATTGAAGTTTATTCTGATTTATTAATTTATTATTTACAAGTGATATATTAGCCTATTTTGGAAGATCTTACTATATATCTTAGCAAGGAGATAATTGGCATTTTGTGTCAATCTCTAGTTTTAATGGAAACTAGCTGTAGTGGTTAGGGAATTTTTAAAATGTAACTGATTTAAGATGTAACTGATGACTAAATGGTTTTTTTTTTGTTAATAATTTAAAAATCAGAGTTATACTATAAGATGAAAGAACGTAATTTCTTTATTTCCGAGTAAATAGAAATAAAATAAAGCTTATACGTTAAAAAAAATATTATGTCGATGTTAACTCAGAACATTACATACATAATTATTTTAAGGGTAATACATTTTATTTGTGCCATTTTGTTAATTGTAGTATAGTCCAATAAGTCATTTTTAATGATATGGTGAGAATTAAAATTTGTATATATTTAAAATACAAATTTTAATTCTCACCATATCATCAGTCCCTATGTGTAAACATCATTACCTAGATAGAGTAAACACTAAATACACTCCATTAAGTGCTAAACCTTTTAATATAAAGTGTTTGTAATTAATAACCTATCATATGTACCTACATATTAATATAAATAAATAAATATTTAACAACATCACATACATTGCTCAGATTCCAAGATGAGTAGCTAAAGCCCCCGTTTTATGGAGTATCTGAGACAAAGAAGGTACCACAACACCCAGACCCGAGTCAATATAGAAAAGTTCATTTTATACATTGACCCGATCGGGACTCGAACCCGGGACCTCAGAGATGGCGACACCTTGAAACCGGCGTGCGAACCACTCGGCTACGGAGGTCGTATAATATGGAATCGATATTACCATAAAAATGCTCTGGACAAAAATCTTCCAAAAGTTGCATGATTTTTGTTGAATGACCCATACATCTTGTATCTATTTGTACTTAAATTAAAACGACAGTCATTTTCATTAGCATAAGATGAGCCTTCAAAAGAAGATCATAATGTTATAACGAAGAATGCAAGAAAGAAGCAAAAGGAATACTGAGTGACTCACAAAATACGCATATAGTGATCTTGGCGATGGTGGCGGACAGTTGCGTGGGTTCCTTGAGCCGGAGAAGGTTGAACGACTGCCGCGCCACGGAGTAAGGCGTCTCCGGGACTGGCTTACTGCCGTGCAGCGCGGGGGTCTGCTCCTCCTCATATCTACACATTAAGTAGATAAAAATTGAAATGCCAACAAGATACTTTTCCATACTTAACTTTAGATAATGCATATTAATATCTGACCAAGAATTGTAGCAGATATAATTACCTCAATATTAAAACACTGGTTGCGACTATAGTGTATGCCAGAAGAGTACCAATGGACATCATGTCGATTAATTGATTCAAATTGAAGATGGCCGCCATTATTGCTGAAATACGGAAATGCAATGTTACTGTTGTTAAACCAATCATATTAACAATAAGGCTATATATATATATATATATATATATATATATATATATATATATATATATATATATATATATATATATATATATATATATATATATATATATATATATATACCGCGTGTTACAAAAAAAACCCGTTACCCCCGAAAATGGCATTGAGTAAACATAAAACTGAGATAATGGACGCTGTCCTTTATATCGTAGCCATTGTATTTATTGAAAAAAACAATATCGAAGTTTAGCAAAATTTTCGATACCATTTATCGAAGCACACCGACATTATGATCAGCTGTTTCAGTTCATTGACTTCTAAATCAAAGACTATTATTTTGCCAGACTGGTTATATCTACTGGTATTTAGTGCCTACGTCACAGTACAGCGAAATAATTTATCTAGTTATGTGTACATACGCAAATATTCGAACATGCAAAATATTACACGAAAACATTATTTTAAAACTATTTCCAAAATTCGTTTTTATTCAGATTAGAGCTCCCTTTCCAATATACCTTGCCATATTACTATGCCCGTGCTACGCACATATCAGGCACGGAAACAAACAATAAACAGTACGCTATAGTCACTGCACTGGATTAAATACTTTCGCCTGAAATGCTCGTACAATATCTCTTTACGAACTGTAGACGGCCCATCCAAAATAATAATCTTTATAATTAATGCTACGACACGTCACTCAATAATGTACTCATAAAATCAATTTCATCTAATCTAAACAAATAGAGAAGCAGAGGAAGAAGAAATATCGCGACCTCTAGATAAGTAGAATATTCGTTATTGCACGAACAATTTTTTTTCATAATTAGGTAGTTTCATTTTTATGAAAATAATTACAATATTATGAAAGTAGGCGACGTATATCACTGAGTGTCTTCCAGGTAACTTTGTCTATCTGTAGCTGCTTCATCTTTGAACCAGAATTTTTACACATCGTGTCTTTAAATCATGATAACCTGGTACTCGTACCTACAATCTTCTGTTACGAAAGTAAACCTAATATGACGTCAGCGCAGATACAGTCGGGGAATAAATTGAAACATTGATCAATATTCGTGTACATATTTCAATTGTGTTTATGGTCAATTTATTTCTTTTCTAATATTTTTACAATAAAAAGATCAGACTTAAAATGGAATATGAACCTTAATCGGGAATATGATCATTCCCGATTATGGTTTCAACCACTTACTCTTACTACATGTAAATTGTTTCAAGTAAAATGGATTGCTACCTTAGAGTTAATGATATGCACTACACTTAGGTATCTTAAAAGCGTCTGACAAGAAAAAATGTCGACAAAGAGCCGCTTTCTGAATTGAGAAAAGTACAAAATCTCAACTGAATATTCTCAATAACTGAAGTTTTTTTTATATTTCACTAGTCAAAAGTCCTAGTTTTATCAAACTGCTAACAACTAATTATAAAAAAAAAACCGGCCACGTGAGAGTTGGACTCGCGCAGGAAGGGTTGTATCCGGTGCTAAGAAATAACTTCATTAGCTTAACTCTTAAAAATATTTTTTATTGTTTAGGTATTTAAATACGTAAGACAAATCAATACATAATCGGTAAAATCGAGCCTAAAACAAATTCACTTATTCCCCCGAGTGTACAATGACGTAAGATAGAGATAGAGAGGGAGGGAAAGAGAGAGAGAGAAAGAAACGAAACATTATCGTTCGTGTTTGTGTGATGTCGCGCGCGAGTGACTACTTGACGCTAGATACGGTAGTAGTAAACATTTGGTACGGATTTTAATTTATTATCTATTTTATTACTGTGGGCTATTCAACTGAATTTTAGAATCAGAGTATAGGATTCACTATTTTAATGCTGTAAGAAATGAAAATGAATGAGACGTTTTATTATGTACTGTTTACCTATTTCCTTAAATAGAAAAAGCCCTAAAACGACCGACACAGCTAACAAACAAATGGTCATTTATTTGAAAAATAGTTCAAAATAGAAAAGGTGTATAAAATGAATTAAAATTTTAAACAGGTATGTCGATTGTATGCAGATTACTACGGCCCACGAAATACATTAATTTATTTATTTAACGATGTCTTATGATAGTCGATGCTACTTCCTCTCTACAGACTGAGCCAAGCATGCTCGTTTGCAGGTGCAGCGTGAAAGTATATCACATTTCTCACTTAAACTAGTCTTTACCAAACATTAACAACGTTTAAATTTGTAAATACTAAAAATACAACCATGTACTATCTTATCAACAACAATAAAAATTTACAAAATCTTTGTCAATTAACAATTCCTAATACGTAACGTTCATAATACGTAACGTATTATGTACTTACGTACGTATGTAAAAAAATTAGTTGCAACAATGTCCTGCGACGATTTTTTTAATTTGTACAATAAAATGTTGATCACCTCGGTACTAGGCAACTAGAAGTTTAGGCTCAAACTTTAACATTGCCGCCTGTCTAGGGTTGTCATCTATCCGTCTTTAGCGGGACATGTTTGACTTTTTAGATTGTGTGCAGCTAAATGTTAATATCACATGTCCGGCGATATAGTTTTCATAGGTTTTTGGTATATCTGTGCCGAAGCTATATCAAATAAACTATGAATACACACAAATTCGAAAAACGTCAAATACCCAAAAAGACGCAGTGTTGCACGGGCATTTGCGAAATTTGAATACAAATCGTTAGTTTGTTTGCATCGTATAGTCTCCGAAATTACTTTATAAAAAAAACCTTTTTCAAAATAGGTTGTGCAGTTTTGATGTTACGATCAAGCCTTATTTTATGAATTCACGTTTTGGCTGTGATAAAAGCGTTAAAATTATGATGTAGTTATCTTATCTTTAATTACCGCTTATTTGTATGTTACGTCTTACTACAAAATCAATTGAAAGTTAGTGATTTTTGCTTAACGCACCCTCTGAATAACTAGGCAGTAACCCTCGCGAAGCCGTGAACTAATATTACTGTCTACTACGGTAATATTGTTTTACGGCTTCGCGAGAGATTTGACTTAGTCCGGCTTTAAGGACAAAATTTCCGATCTAATAAGAGAAGATGGCAACCCTATCCCGCTACTTCTCAGATTTAATTGCGGAACTATAGGTACCTTTCTGTGCGCCTTTGACATGCCGCACACTATGCAGCGGCTTATAATAAAGGACTCAAATTGGCGGCTTTCCCTTTTTATCACTTTTTCTTTATTCAGTTGTTCATACGTCGTCGATGTGATCACGTTTCGAAAATGTCCGTGTTCTCTAATTCCGAGTTCTATGAAAAGTGCTTTTATCAGTGTTACATGGGATGCAGTGTTGTATTGATATAAATTGAGACTATTTTGAAAAGATGTAATTATACTGAAACGTCAGTGAACCAGAGGTTGGCCGCGATCTTTAGTTTTTTCTTGTGGAATAAAATTAAGTGCCTAATAAAGTGTAGGTGAGTGAACCTCACAAGTAATGCTTAAACAGTGAATAAGGAAGTGAAAAGGTAAAGTACAAATAGTAATTCGCAAATATTTATTTTTAAATACGCCAAAATCGTTTGTGAATTATGTCGCATATCATTTTTTTTTTATTATCGTAATATCAATCAGATTTGTCGGACCATTAAAGTATGAACTAAAAGTTAGACTCGTATATCAGTGTTTAAATAAATTTTACCTATCTATCATAAATAGGTACTACTTAAAATGGTGTTTGATCTGTAATTCAGAAACAGCTGAGTCGGAAACGATGCTATGAAATGATGTGCGCGTTGATAATAATATGTATTATAATTTTTTTTACTGAAATTAGACTACCGGCTGAACAGCGTCGGTTACCATACCATTTTGCCAATGATTTGATTCCTATTTAATTTCTTTTCATTTTATTTTCGATCGAAATAGGTTAAGTATTTACTGTGTAAACTGGCAAACGCAGACATGTTTTTAAGTATATTTTCTCTCTCATTCTTAGTGTGTATGTGTGGGTGTGTACTAGGAGAATAGAAAAAAAAAATTAGAAAACATAGGAGATAGGTAGTGTGCCATTACTCCTGGTAAGGTCATTAACCTAAAATAGTGATGTGACATAGCACACTCGATGTATTTATTAATTATTAAAAATTAGCCTTTTTACTGAAAGTTAAAAGTTAATGCAAAGGTTTTGAAAATTTGGCAGAGTACTGTTTATATGATATACTTCAACACCCTTCAGCTATAACGGGTATTTTTGTAACACCCGGTATATATATATATATATACATACGTTACGAAACAGCACAGAATCGTAGATAGAAAACTCTTAATTTTTAACAATACACTGGGATAATAGATGTCGTATTCTTTGTTAAATAAATAAATATATTTCACTTCCTAATTTATCTTGCCGCACTTTTTGATAAAAGCCTGATAAATATTAAAAAAAGTCTGCGGTTTCTCTCTTCATCTGTAATTGGTGCGAAAAGAATGACCAAATAAACTTAACCCTTAAGAAATAGCACCTACAGATTCATTTCACACTGATACTTTAAAACTCATTTAAGAAATACCATTCATTCGTTTGCCATGCTTGTTCACGGAACTCAGTATAAAGTTGGATGTTGTGTTAAAGTAGCGAGAAAGGAAATTAGCAGTGATTAATAAGCTCACCTGACAGCAAACCGCTGAAGAATGTAGCCAGTAAAGGTGTCCTAGTTTTCTTGTTGATAGCAGATAGTGGTCGGAATAGGACGCCATCAGTTCCCATGGCGTACAACACCCTGGGTAGTGGGAACATAGCGCCCAGTAGACTAGTGCACAGGGCGAAGATGGCACCTACTGTCACGATCCACTTGATGACCGGCATCCCGGCCTCCGTGAACACGTGAGGGAAAGGAGCATCGGCGTCCTGGACATTGTATTATTTTTGTAAATGAAAACTGAAGTTGTATCCATACCTCGTCTATATTAATATTATTAATCTAGGACTACTGACAGGAAAGAGTTTGCATTAAAAAGTCTCCGAAGCTGGACAATTTTTCAAAATACTTATCTATGGGAAGCTACATCATACGCGGGTAACGCATTTAAAAATTAGAAAATTATAAAAAGTCGCGGAAAAACAAGTACTTATTTAAGTATATGAAAATCATAAAATTCTGTCTCTTGATCTGCTATGAGGAAATTAAAGAACAACATGGGTCAGGCAACAGATGGGAAATCAGCTGCAAATACATAAGTACAACTAATATTAAATTAGGCAAATGGATATTAAAAATGCCTATATTAAAAATATCATAAAGATATCACTTGTTTATCTATAATGACGGTTAAAAAAAATAACGCAATTAAGACTAATAAAAAATTAACAATAGGGATGACGATTGGGTAAAAAATGCTATTATATTTAGTCCGTTAGATTATAGAAAAATATTAGATACGTATTTTTTTACTTCAATTTAACGAAAAATAGCTTAGATAACAGGCATTAAAGTTGAGGAGTGGGGGCTCGCTACGTCACAGTTTTGTAGAAAACGTACCATAACGAGACGTCATGCGAAATTTCAACTCCATGTATCGCCGTAATTTTATGATTAAAAAAAAAATTGAAAAATACGTGTTTAATATTTTTTAACACTCTACCTGACGGACAAACAAAAAATTGTCGTCATCTCTATTGTATGCATAAAAATAATCTGCTTTTGCTGCTCTCGAAATCTACTTTCGCCTCATTAGTGTTAATTTCTTTGTCTTAAAATGATCCAAATTCAGTTTATTTATCTGCAATGTGTTACTTTTCTCCCACTTATAGTGATCTCCTATTACCTCTATCATGTCTTTATTAATAGCTGACTATTGATCTTTTATTAATATATTATTACGTTCAAGTGCAAGTTTTAGATACCTGCAAATAGTAAGGCCACATCATGGTGAGGACTGTTGCTATACTGAAGTAAGACACGAAGATTATCACCAGCGACAGCACAATAGACAACGGTATATCCCTCTTGGGGTTCTTTGCTTCCTCGCCGGTGGTAGCAACACAGTCAAAACCTACAAAGCCGAAGAAGCACTTGGCTGCGCCAGCCATCACACCGGCTATACCCCATGGCATGAAGCCACCTTCGCCTGCTGACGATTGGTACTCAGGTGGGATGTCTTCTAATTTGATCCTCCAGTTTGCCGGGTTGCCTGTAGAAAGAAATTATTATCGTATAACATATTATTTAACATATATATCTTCTACAAAGTATTTTCATGAGTGGTTAAGGCGAAAACATATCTGCGTCTTAATTCCTTTCCTTAATGGAGGTTGACCTAAAAATTAACAGAAGCATGTTCTGTTGGTTCAAACACGCGAACGGAATGCCAGACAAAAGAATGACTAGACTGATATACCTACAATGAGAAAGTAAACGCATATAGAAAATTAGGAAAGGCTAAGACATGCCTACCTTCGATGATCAAATTGATTGCGTGAAGGTGATGTCAGAAGTCATAAAAATCATGTGTAATATTACATGTTTGAATTATGATGGTTGTGAATTTTGCATTTTCAGTGAATTTTTTATGTATATTTTAAAAAAGAGTACACGTCCGGACTGTCATTGGCCATCAGTTCGATTTTTTTTTCAATTATCTGAAGATATTATGAATCATGTATTATCATGTACCCGCGTAGGACCGTGCCTGAGCGCTCTCAGTTTTTTCTGCCTACCCGCAAAGGATCTGGCGTGAAGGAAGATATAAAATAAGACGATACAGATCACGTTATTTATAGTCTGAACAATACCGCGGTGCTAAGACGCATTACACTGGATACTATTCATAAAATAATTTTACTATTGTGATAATTATAATGACTCGTCTAATATATTTTATCATTGTTTCAACTAACTTGTGTTTACAAACACTTATAAGCTTTAATAATTCTCTTTTCATTATGTACACACGTGAATATGATTATTTTGTTTTAAAGAACGCCTTAATCTTCGAAGTGATCTCATTATCTTATTTAAGTAGTACCTACCATTTTTTTTCCACAAAAATGCGCGCCGGAGCGGTGCTGTACTCGAATAACATTATTTGCTTATTGTGTGTTTGAAATGGGTTGACTTAAAATAACGCCTAATACGTTTTGAAGGCTTGAGCTCAAGAATAACCAAAAAATGTTTAAATGACATTCATATCTTTCTACTGATCGGTCGATCGCGCAACTCCAATTGAAACATTTTAAGTACATGGTAATAAGCTTTAAAAAATAGTGCACGGCTTAATGCGATCTTCTGTATTTATACTGCAATAGAAATCAAATAAATTAATAGATATTTACCCTCTTAAAAATCTGCGAATTTTCTTTATTATCATTTTTGACTCTCAAAGACTTTTGGTTTAAGATAACTTAAAAGCGCTCTGTTCTTATTTATCACATTATAAATATGAAAATTAGAGTAAAATATACGATAAATCGGTTCACGATATATCGAATGACGACCTAGAGTAGATATCGAGTCAGATTTGTTAAAAACTGTTCTAAAAAATTAATATTTTTTTTTATAAATGTTGAGTTGTTTGTTCTAAATTACACTAGGTACCGTATTACTAGTGGGGTTGGGTCATGGAGCCATCCATGCCGTATCTCGTATACCTCTGCCCTCTAGTTAGGGTACTCCGCTGCGGGTTGGGCGGGTAGCTAGCTACGTTTAAGAGTTTTGTCCTTTAGGGCAGTTCCAGTTTGATTTTAGTTGAATTTTAGGCTTAAGGTGCATTGCCTTTGCTTTATCAAAAAGTATTATACTATACTATATTACTTACTTTTGACAGCGCCTGCTATGACTACGATGATGACGGTGGCCATGTTAAGAGCGGTGAATACGTTGTTTAGTTTCGTCGACTCTTTCACACCGACACCCAGTAGAACTGTCAAGAGAGAGAAAGCAATATTATGATATATGGTTCCTTATATGACATATTATACTAGAATTCTACCCACAACTTTGTCTTTGTCACCTTTGTAAGATAAGTGGTACAAAATGCAAATCATGAAATATCCGTATGCATATATTTAGTTTCTATATAGTGCAGAACTAAAGAGATACCTACGTCATAAAATATTGTCATTCGATTCACGTTTTTGTTTCAGGGTTAGTTATTTCTGATTATATGACAAAGCTTAAAAAATATATATTTGCATTCTTAGAAAAATCTTACGGTATACTTATAATCGCACTATAGGAATTTTACGTGTCATAGTGGAACCAGGACTTCTTAATAATAAAGTGGATAATTAACTGACCGACTTTTATAAACGGCTACACTAAAAATATTCCAATATAATTAATAATAAAATGTAGGTAATTTCGAAACGAAGAATACCTATTCAAGTAAGTTAACTAAACGAACGGCATAGAATTATTGAAATGTATTTAGAAGCCAATTAAGAGGTGCGTTTGGCCTGGTTTCTTGAACAGGTTTTATATTAAGGATACTATCAACATTGTAAATGTAAGCAAGAATAAGGCTTGCTAGTTTCTAAGTATAAGGAAAGTTCGCCGTGTTTAATTAAATTCAATAATCTGCTATCCGGTTTATATTTTTAATGATCAAGTTTTGCGTTTTTTCTTGGATCGAAACCACGCAGGTTAAGTGTAGAGATAAGAACAAGAGTTGTCCTGAAAGATGGAGTCCTTATAGGTATAAGTTAACAGGGTTATGCTCCGTGGATTCGAATATTATATCATACGAAATGATAATTAAATTGATATACAACGCGAAATAAGTAGGATCTAGCAGCCGTGGAAGGCCAAGATGCACCATTCAGCTATACTATTATAGTTTGTTCAAAACAGCTTCGAAATTGACGTCGAGTGCAGCGCTTAAGGGAATAATGTATTTTTAATGATATATAACCTTTGTTAGGTATCTTTTGAAGAAGGATTCATTATAGAATCTTTCTGTTGTACCTATTATCGAATCGTAAAAGCCATAAAATCGGCGATGAGTTATAAAGCATAGAGATTTGTTTTATAAACTGAGGTTTTCGTTCTTACCGGTACTATACAAAATTAATGAATACTTCTACGAAATCATCTTAGAAAATATAAATGACAAATACACAGCCATTAGTCAATGTCATCCATATATGTTTCAGGTCTGTTCTGTGGTTTCAGGTATCTTGACAAGTACAATATACGACACGTAATGATAAAGTATCTATTGTTGGTAACTAATGGTCGTTTCTTAAACAATAGTTTTCAAGGTGATGGAATTCTTAGCATGTCATTCTTAGCAAATTTTAACATTGACAGCTACATATTGTTAATCTGTGACTTAGATGGAAGTCAATGTTGAAATTTGACTTTCAAAATAGATCATTGATTATTTCAGTAATGTTAATCTGAACCCTTTATTAATAAAAGGAGAAACCTTTACTACTAAAGATAAAAGATAAACGATATAATATAATAAATAGTTTGCACAAAATATAGAAAATAAATAAATCGCACACTTACAGGTAAAACCTATTCTGGTGTTTAGTATAGAGTTAACACAAAACAGTAATTTAAAGTACTGATGATAAAAATAACTATACAGTCACAAACTGTATAGGTAGTTGGTAACAATCTTTGTGATTGATTGAAGTTTTCACGCTTCAGGTCTCATGTTAATAAAATGGATCGCAGCTGCTTTTGCAATTGTGAATATCGTCAAGGCCCGTCCGTTTATATTGGCAAAGTAGGCAACTGCCTAGTATTTAGGAGCGGCATGCCATGGCAAAAGATTATATATCTATAATTATTTGAATTGAAAAAAAATACTTTTGTTTTTTCAAGATGTGTCTATGTTCTCGGTATTCAAAAGTACATAATTTTCAGTAGCAGTATCTAAGTAGTTTATTTTGTTATCGAGTTGTTTTATTGGCATCGTTCCAATGTTTTGTTTTGGGCGGCAAGTTTCACTGACCCGGTGTTTACTATTTATCAATCTACACGGGAATCAGTGGGCTATAACACGATTTACTTCAATCGATATTTACTTATCATAAAAGTGGAGACATTATTGATGACGCGGAACTCACTTGTGATTAAAAAGACGAGAGCGAAAGCAAAGAAATCAGGGTAATCAGCCAGGAAGGACACGTTGATTGGTGCGATCTCTCTCATGGTGTTCGCCATGGTGTTGTTGCAGAGGCTATCTATGTAGTTGGCCATGCCCTTGGCGACACTGGCGGTGCCGATCACGTACTCCAAGATGAGGTTCCAGCCGATGGTGAAGGCGATGAATTCGCCGACGCTGACGTAACTGTATACGTAAGCGGAGCCAGCCTTTGGTACACGGGACGCGAACTCGGCGTAACACAAGCCTAAAACAAAAAAGAACAAAAAAATAAAGAAATAAATATCTGTCAGGTAGGTAGCGCTACATTTTCAATTTGTTTTTCTAGAAGGTACATAACATTGTGAATACGAAAATCACTAGGTGTACATTTTTTTCCGTCACATGACGAGTACCCTAACAAACTGGATGGTAAACGACGTTTTTGTTTTTTTTTGTTCTAAGCTGCTTTAAACCAGTTGACTGCGACGTATACATTTTCAGATTATCTACATAAAGGATAGTTACGACCACACGATTTGTTTCTACAAATATGTATGAAGCAATTAGTAATTGTCATTATGAATTGGGAGCATTAGAAATATTCATGAAATAAGTGTAGGTATTCCACATATGGCCATAATTATAATGCTAATAGATATTATTTGCCAATAGCCAGTTTTATGGTGAGTCTAATATTTAAATAAATTAAGTATATAGTTAAGATTTAAAATAGATTGACAAAAAACTCAATATTTGCATAATAGGTCCTGTGGTCTGTATTGATTTGTTTAATGAAGTTCAGATTGAGTTGATAGTCGTATATGAAATTTCGTAAATATAATATCGAAACGTTCATTGACAAAAACTACGATTTACTGTCAAGGAACTAAAATTTGCAACAATTAGAATTACATTTCGGCTTGATATGAATTCGATTAGCATTCGTTTTTTTTTGTGTTAAGATCAAATGTCATATGTGAAGACAAATAATAAGCACTGCTACAACCAGCTATCATTATCATGGAAATCCTCAAAAGTAACCCTATATTTCTATCATATCTAATAATGAAATGTCATGTCAAGTGTAGTAACGCGGCCATTCACGGTACCTACAGATGGTCCACCAGTTCAACGAAGTCATTCAGCGAGCTATGAAATCGTGATAGTTTTCTAAAAGATAAAATTGGCAACGAGGTTATCCGACAGAGAACCAAAGTCATCGTAATACACAGGATTAGTAAGCTGAAGTGGCAGCAGGCTGGCCATATTTATTGACGAATCAATAACTATTGGGGTAAGTTTATTCTAGAATGGCCACCGCGTGACGATGATTATACTAACAAAAACACTCACCAGCGAATGCTGACGCAATAGCAGCCACCAAGAAGCTGAGCGTGACCGCCGGTCCAGCGACAGTCTTGGCTACGGCCCCAGCTAAAACGTAGACACCTAAACCAAGGGTACTGCCCACCCCGAGGGCTGTGAGGTCCAACAAGCCCAAACACCTCGCCAGAGGCGACGACTCACTGTCATTCAACTGTTTGCATCGGCGCAACGCGTTGAACAATCTCAAGCACCCCATCTGAAAATATTTAAGATTTTTAATATGCAAAATTGCTCCGCCGACCACGTCAATGGTTTACAAAGTAATTTATGTGCTTAGTCACTGAAATACACTACTTTCTGTCATCCTTACAGATTTTTTTAAATATAAATTAAAATGAATCGCCAAAATGTATGTACCTACGCGCATGATTTCCAAACGACTGCACTAAAATTGAATGATTATTTTTTCAGGTCAGGATATATATAAGACAGGTTCGTATATAAGAAAATTTACAAAAAATATTAGATAAGATAAACAGGGTATTGAAGCAATACATTTCAAGGATATTGATTTAGTTAATTTTCACTGTTGTTTTTCGTTTCGAAAAAGCTTTAAAATTTTTATTTAAATTAGCTTTAATGAGATTTGTTACATTAGGTAATCCTCAAACACTGAATTTTCTCATAACAAGATAAACTTGGCAACAAAAAATGTTATTATTATACTTAAGAAGTTAATAATGGATGTACGTCATCCGTATACATATTATACAAAAACAAATATATATCTCTTCATCATGACATATAGGTGTGCTCTTTCAGAGCACAATAAACAGCTTCTAATCACAGTCAGATTTCATAGCAATTTTCTATGGTATATGTTCGAATTATAATTAAAATGGCCAATTGAGTCTCCTGCCATTGAGATCCTAAAATGTACAGTAACTTTTGTATGAACACACGGAACGAATCAATAAGTGAATGCCCTAAATGAATAGCAGCGGAGTTCATTTAGCGATGCGTCGCCTGCGCAGCGCCAGCGCACGTTCAACTACCGTGAAAGTCAAGGTTGCCCATAAAACGATTCGAATTTTATTTAGAAAACAATCCTTATTGCAAGTGAATAGGGTATCATTTAATTCAATTAAAATTCAGTTATCAGGAAATTCCTCATTATACTCAGATTCGTCACATTTTGTGCGGCGGCTTGATTGATACATGTCCGAACATTTCTTAATGTTCTTAAGTGTATTATTTAGTACACTTATTTAGTGGTGCGATTATCATTATCTTTCCACCATCATGTCAGGGTCACCAATGAAGCAATGGATAGTATTGATGTATAGCTATGACTCCGAATAGAAACGCATCACATCCAATTAATTAATTTATTGCTTACTTCACAAGGTGAAATCCTTAAGCTATTGTCCGCTCCAATTATAAAGCTTATCCACTACGCAACCAAGACCATATTTCTCTCAGTGACAAGTTTTAATTTGGTATAGGATCATTCAAAGTAATGTTTGAAAGCTGTATTGCATTTCTGGGTAACCGACCTTTCAGGATACCAACTGATGTTCCAATTTTATCACATTCATTTCGCTTTTCTAAAACTTTTCCTAATACATTTTATTGATCCAATGGTCCACGATCTATCTTTGGTATCTCTATAAGAACTGAAGATCCCACGTCAATGTCAGGAAATTTGTGTGATGAGTGGGTTTTCATTTTTTGTGCGGCTTTTCTTAAGTTTTCGGCAGCTATTTCACTAAACTTAAACTAGTAATATAAGTATAACACTAAACTTGGACCGCTTTATAACCATATTCCTAGTGAGATAGTAATGAATCGCTTCCGTATAACTATGTTACGGTATATAATTATATCCCTAGGGATATAACTATATTACGGCTTTATCTATCTTACTGCGACATATATATATGATAGATGAAAGAGTAGAAGAAATAGATACCGACTGGTCAAAGAGTAAAGTCTTTAAAATAGTGTTTGAGGAGTAAAACTGGTAATGAATATACATAATAAGTGTATGTAATATGTTGGGAGTATCATCGCCATCTTTCATTCATTTCATTTTCATTTTACATCTAAAAATTAATTTATTTACTTGATATTGGCAGAATTATGCGAAATGCGCAGATAAGCCATTAATTAAAAAAGAAGAAGAAGAAGTAATATGTTGGGAGAAGCCCACACTTAAAATACATATAAATGAAACCTGTCTGTATTGCGAGAATGTAAAAGCTACATAGAATTTTTATGCAGTTCTCACCAACAGATGTTTACGAGTAGGTAAACTTTAATTCAGGTGTTGTGTTGCTACAACCGTCCCTTATTATTGCAAGGTGGAACAGTTCGACTAGCTGACTTAATATTCCCACCCACTTCGTGATATTTTGGTATCACGACTTCTTCAAATGATGTCCGACAACATCTTTTCACTATCATTTTGTAAAATTGAAAAACAAACGCATCGTATCGTAAATCTACAGGGGAAGACCAACTCGAGAAACACTTTGTCTAAACCCAAATGTCACTTTCTCGTATCTAGAGTAAGATATGGTATGGATACACCCGAGAAAAGTGACATTTGAGTGAAGACAAAACGTTCTCGAGTTTGACATACTACGCGTGCTGTAGTGATATTTCGTTATAAAGCAGTTCGCACCTCGTCGACGAGCACAGCGCTGTCACAACGTAGAAGTTCAATCAAATAAAGCCTATTTGAAAAGTTAATTATAAATTTTATCTACAGCGCTGATGCGGCCAAATTGAAGGTGCAGGTCAATGAGTATTGGTTTATGGTAATTAATTAGGTATTGCCCGTTGTACAAATTGTAATTTAGAACATTCATTAGAGCTTGAAGTCGTCATTAAACCTTAATGGACATGTTTTGTGAAACTATGTATCTAGATCAAATTTTGCCTTCTAACTTTTGGAAGAACTGAAAAATTCAACAAGGGTTGCTATTTTCTCTGCTTTATTTCACTCATAGCTCAAACGCACAAACACACAACACAAAAAGAAATAGACAAAGGCTGAATTCACAAATAATGATAATGAATTGTCTACAAAAATGGCGATTGAGATTTGATTTCCGCATCTAAATTGCCATCGAGGGAAGACATGGCGGCCCGCTATTTCTTTTATAAAATATATACCTATGAATGTGCGAATGTTACATAACAAAATGTTACCATAATGTTATTAATGGTCGATTTCGTTTTGCAATCTCGACGGCCAAATCTGTACGTTAATTCACTTTCAACTTGTTAGACCATATTTTGATTATGCTTAAATGCGGTCCGTCACTCATTATATAATTATATTTTTGTTGAGTATACTTACAAGACAGATTTCTCGAATTGTGATCAATGGACAAATTTAGTTGGCATCGTTTTTTTTTTTATGGGATAGGGGGCAGACGAGCAGACGGATCACCTGATGGTAAGTGATTACCGTCGCTCATGGACACCTGCAACACCAGAGGGGCTACAAGCGCGCTGCCGGCCTTGGAGAGAAGGTTTGAGGGGTAGAGGGAAGAGAATAGGGAGGGTTTGGGCCTCCGGTACCCTCACTCACACGACGAAACACATCGCAAGCGTTGCTTCACGTCGGTTTTCTGTGAGGCCGTGGTATCACTCCGGTCGAGCCGGCCCATTCATGCCGAAGCGTGGCTCTCCCACGGTATAAAAAAGAAGTGATTTTTTGGTTTTGATTTTTTGTCTAAGCCTCAGGTGCTGACATCGTGTAACCTCGGAGATAATAATCTCCTTCCGCAAATCTATGTCACATTGTAGATACAAGGCCCTTACACTCAGCGAGCCGATCTATTGTCCATGGAAATTTTAATTTAGGATATTTTGGTCAGCATTTATTTGTGAAATAATCTCAGCCGAAACGTCGCGCAGGTCAGTGTAAATATCGCGTCTAATACCCATTATTATAAGTATTTATTGCCTGTGTAGGTAATAGCTGCAGCCAATCACTTCTATTGCATGGTATAATAGTAAGTACTATACTTATAAGTATATCAGTTAATAGTTTTATATCACATAATAGATCTATAGCACTTAGGTAGGATGTATTTTACAATATTACTAAATGTTTTATAACTAAAATTTTGGTGGACCTTCGTAGTCGCACGCCAGCTTCAGTGTCGCCATATCTGAGGACCTGGGTTAGAATTGCGGTCAGGTCGATTTATTTATTAAAAAACGATCTTAAGAAATCGCTATTAATACATACAGTAAGGCAGAAAGAGTAATATATAAAGATACGTCTTTTGTAGTCTGGCGAGACTTGCTTCACTATGTCTTTTGCATTTCAGAATAGATATAGACGTTTAATTAATATTAACGCCGACTATTTAGTTGGTTATATTATAAATAACAATTTAATTCTAGTATTTTTATGTGACCAATTATAAAGAAAATTTAGGAATATGATACCTACCTAACTAACCCTTACAAACAAACAGACTCATCAAAATCGGTAACGCCCACTATTTTGACATTGATTAAAAATTAGCCATGACAGTGTATTTATCGACTTAAATATCATTTATTGCGCATGTAACATAAGTAACGTCATAGTAGGTTACGTGCTGTAAATAAAAAGCTGTTTGTCCGTGATTTCGTAAATAATAACCTATGTCACCCGAGTATGATGTAGCTTTCATAATAGAATTTCCATGATCGGATCCGTATTTTCGAATATTACCCCCTACAAACAAACAAACGAATTTAGAAACTTTACCTATACAATATTAATGTAGATAAAAAAAAACAAAATACAAAACAATAACAATACACTTGGTAATGTTAATAAGAAAATCACAACTCACCATTATAAATATAAATATGGAGATTGAATTAAAACAGTGACTGAGCGTCAAACAGTGACTGGTGGAAGTGGCGCTGACTTGTAACATCGACGGAGATTGCGCCCGCGCAATCTTTATTGCCATAATCCTAATACAAACGGCTGCAGCACCGATGACTATTAGATATAACATTGTCTGTCTGTGCCGATTATTGTGTGTCTGTATTTTAAATATGTATAAATAAAAAAATAATATTAGACAAATCATACATAGCTTAGATCCCAAATTAAGTATCTTTAAGCATTTGTATTATGAAAATTTTGAAAGAGCCAAAGATAGAGAAAAATGGGAAGCTTTGGAGGAGGCTTTTACCCCGAAAGGGTCCATACAAATATAGTAGAATTTATTAAAATTAAATTCATATCATCATCGAGCAATGTCCCATTATTATTATTTTAATTATTGTCGTTTTTTTTATTTTATATCTTTTTACTTTTTTAAATAATGTTTTACTGAATGGTATCGATGCTATTTGTGTGGAATCAAATAAAGCTTCATTATTATATTATTGTTATTATATATTATAAAAATCGGAAACAAAGAAGGTAACAATACCCGATTTTGAGACGATAGAGAAAAGTTCAATCTTGACATTGACTCGACAGGAAATGGGACCAAGAACTTTAGGAATGGCGACACTTCGAAGTCACAGTAGGCTAATACTGATAATGTCAGCGTAATGATTGTAAACTCAATAGAGTATCAATTACTTTTATTTTACCATTTTAATATCTACTTATAATCCAATATTATTAGTGCAATGTCCTCCTCCCACATCAATGGTGACAGATATGTTGTATAATAATATAATATTGGTCTTCAGGTAGATATTAAAATGCCAAAATGCAAGCAGTTTCTATTGAGATGCGAATATTACGTAAATATAAACAAACATTTATTGGCCTGCTAGGCGTTTATTGAATAATGAACCTCTATCTATATTTTTTCAGCGTTGTGCTCGACGTCGAGTTCAAGGCTAATTTAATTCATCATCATCACTTCAGCCGAGAGACGCCCACTGCTGGGTATAGGCCTCCCCCAAAGATCTCCAAAGCGATCGGTCCTGCGCCTCCCGCATCCAGCGGCTTCCCGCGACCTTCACCAGATCGTCGGTCCACCTTGTGGGGGGCCTACCAACACTGCGTCTCCCGGTACGCGGTCGCCACTCCAGGACCTGACCACCTCAACGGCGGTCAGTCCTGCCAGTGATGTGCCCTGCCCACTGCCACTTGAGGTTCGCAATTCTTTGGGCTATGTCGGTGACTTTCGTTCTTCTGCGGATCTCATCATTTCTGATTCGATCTTGCAAAGAAACTCCGAGCATAGCCCTTTCCATTGCCCTCTGAGCGACCTTGAGCTTCCTTATGAGGCCCATCGTAAGCGGCCACGTTTCAGTACCGTATGTCATCACTGGCACACGCACGAATTAAAGACTCGTCTTGAGACACTGCGGTAGATGTTCCGAGAATACACTGCGTAGCTTCCTGAACGCTGCCCAACCGAGTTGGATCCGTCGATTTACCTCTCCCTGGAAGTTGGACTTACCTAATCGGACTATTTGTCCCAGGTAAACGTACTCGTCGACAGCTTCCAGTGTAGAGCCTCCAACATTCACTGGAGTGGGTACGACATGGGAGTTTGACATTATTTTTGTCTTCTCCATGTTCATTTTAATGTCATTAGAAAATAGAAAACCTGAGGTATAGATATGCTAAATGACCTTTTTATATCATCATTTTTAGTGCGGCTTTTTCTTCATAGTATGATACTATGAAGAAAGAGCCGTCCATGAACCATTCATGTCCATGTCCACGAACGAATCGGAAAAAACATATCGTGTGTAAATCCTTACAGTTTTATTAATAAACAAGGTTAAGCGTTGGAGTAAATTTACGCTGACACTGCACTTACTATTAGTCAATATTAAAACAGAGAAAAAAATAATCTAATACGAGTTTCGACGGGAATAATATTTACTCCTAACTCCCTTAGTCCTAAAAGCTTTGCTTATTTTCTGTATAATAAGAATTTAGAGTAATAGTAAAATTGCAATTTTATCGAAAATTTACTCTGACGCTAAACCTTGTTTATTAATAGCACTGCTTTAGTACTAAAGTTGGCTTAATTCTCTAAGGTTAAATCCGTCGAAATTTTGCAGTTAGCATTCAACTTCCTTCTGACATTTCTCGATAGTTTTCAAAGATATTTGCGTCTATTGCTTGTCTTAGACAATTTCAAATTATTCATATTATCGATGTTTTTCATTTAGTATCTTTCAAATAAGGTTGTATCTGCATTCGCTATCACATTTCAAATAGTTGTAGTATAAAGTTTGTGAATACCTTTAAGTATCAAATCGAAAGGGATTACAATATATTTTATAATAAGACAAGTGTATTTGTTAATTGCACTGGTATTGTAAAAAAACAAACGATAAACTTATGTGAGACGGGTATTAACGCTATAGATTGATAGTTAGGTTTTTCACCTACCTATATAGAACCAACCGTTTCATACAATCTAATATAATTCAACACGAAAGTTTAAAAGTTTAGATAAACTTATGTACTGTAAAGCTACATTAATTACCAATATGGCATGTTCTAACTACTCTTGGCGATAATCTATAAAGGTATGAAAACGTTTCATAAGTGGTCTTGGAGTTATATGGTTTTGATGCTATTTTTATAATTCTAGTCATGAGAACAAATCATAGAGCGTTAATAACGGCTCTTTATGATATAGTTCTTATAATAAGATTATAATAACATTCAGTGGCAAAATTTAAATAATTAAATGTCTGAGAATCGCGGTCTAGAGTGGATTGTCATCTTCTAAAATAAAAACTGGAATTTAGCTTTTTTAAAAGCGAAACATCACTTTTATAGAGCCGGACGTAAGTTTTAAATTTATGATATTAATTTCTTTAAGAATAAAAAAGTCTGTTACAACTACTAGTTGTATTAAACACACATTAATTATAACAACAATCATGAATCAGTCTTATTTTTGTCATCATTAGACTTCTAAGTAAAGGCCTTAGAAAAATCTTACACGCGGACATATAAATACTTAGCCGGAGTCCGGACACTGCTTAAAAAACAGGTAAATATGTCCGGATAAAGCCTGACAAGTAGTAACCCCTAGATATCTCGCTAAAGATCTGTAGTAGCTCTGTGTGTGGGAGTTTCAAAATATCGCAGTCTAACAGTTTTTGCAATGCAAATAAAGCCTTATTCTGTTAAAAATTAAAATTTACAAAATTTTTACATTTGCTTTTTGATGAATTTTTTTGTAGGGTAAAGAATGACTGTGAAAAATTATAAAGCATTTGTTATAAAAAATATTATAAGACAGAACCAGATGCTGAAGTGATGTTGCGAATAAAATAATATGCAGAAATCATGTTTTAAAAACTATTTGCTATAAGTTTAAGATAAAATCGTAGGAGAGAGTTTATATAACCTTCAGTTTGCTCAGACTGTATGTTAATTTGTTTTCGTAAGAAAATTATTGTTATACATTTTTAGATAGGAATGTTTGGGTTGAAAAGATGACGAGTAATCAAGGTAATAAATAGCACGAGATCTACCCATGAGACACACGCCGATAGGCGACATTTTTTATAATTAACTTACGCACGTATATTTAACTATATGGCTACGTTTTGTCACACGCATATGATGTAGCTTTCCGTTGGTAAAATAATTTATATGATCCGATCAGTATTATCGAAGATTATTCCCTACAAACAAGCAAAGTTGCAAACTTTATCTGTTTATAATATTTGTATAGATTTATTATAGACCACCTTACTCATACACTGATAACTAAATTAATCGGTTATGAAGACAATGAAGTACTATCGACCGCAGCTTTTCATTTCATTTCATTCATTCATTTTCATTTTTCAATCAATAAAGTACTATCGACCGCAGCTTTGACATTTGAATGTCATAATGATCACTCAAAACCTGAATTTAATGTTTTATCATAACAAATACTTTATATGTACGTGTATAAGGGAGTTAGCCTTGATGAGAGTTGCAATTTTACCTTATGAAGACATTTTATTTGCATTTTTGATGCTGATATACAAAAATAAAGTGGGCGACCTTAACCTAAACAAATGCATATCGTAACATTGAGAAATTAAAATCAATAAAAATATATACAATAGGTAGACCTATAGGTCTAAAGGTCTACCTACAATATCCTATTAATAAAGACCTAAAGGTCTACCTATATATATCCTATTAATATTAAAAATGTGAAAGTTTCTTTGTTTGGATGTTTGTTCATCAATCACGCCGAAACTACTGAACGGATTTTGATGAAATTGGTATACAGATAGGGTAGCTGACTTAGATAATAGGATACTTTTTATCCCACTAAACATTTCCCTAGGGTCCACGTGGGCGAAGCCGCTGGCGAAAGGTAGTAGTATATAATAGGGATATTAGCGGGCTTTAAAATATTAGTATAGACTAGCAGCCTAACGGTCACAAACGTCCATTAAGGTTTAATTACGCCTTTAAGCTCTATAAATGGCAAAATTGTAGTTAAAAATCGCTAATTAATTTTTGAAATTCGTTTAATTTGATCGATAGATAAGAAAGATTTAATTGTTTCTTTGCATTGAATAGGCTCAGTATTCACTATACTTACTGATTTTATAAAACCATAGGTAGTTTAGGATCAATTGAGTCACTAACGGTAAATGTTATAATAGAACAATACGACGGACGTCACACAAAACTTTCCCCTAGCGTACATGTTAGGAATAGGCACTACGAAATCGGAAGACAAGTAATCAAATTCAAATATATCAATGCATTTGGAAATTTATAAAGAAGTCTTTGAAGAACTGGCGAAGCAAACTCAAATGAAGAAAGATATACAGAGAGGACTAACTGTAACTTTAGATTTATATGAATTGTGAGGATTTTTGTAGTTCATAGATACAGGGTTTTTTTTTTGGTAAACTATGTAATATATAAGATAAATATATTTTCAATTCAGTACTTATTTCTAGATAGCAACAAGAG